CCCCAAAACCCCAAAACCCCAAAACCCCAAAGGATTTTTCTCAAATAAAACATAATGGTTATAGAATTACTAATTATTAATAGATTAATAGTTAACTTCTCATAATAATGTCCATTAGTTAACCCCCAGTAACAATAAAATTTCTGCCTGTTTAAGACTCACGGAACTTTCCTTAAATGGGGAGTTTGACTAATAATCCCTATTCAGCTTAGAGATTCCTTTCAACAGCTGCATCCTCTAGAAGAGCCTAATAGAATAGCAACTAATTGAATGGTCTTAGTGTAGTCAGTTAGATTGAATCTCATAGGAGAAGGAGCACCAAGCAGTCAGAATAATTTGATCGAATTCATCATAGATCAATTGAAGTAGTTGAAATTCAACCCTAGCAGGCAGACATAACTTAGAGAATGATAATGACATAACAGCTGAAATTCAGAACTAGAGGAGAAAGGAAATAGACTTAGAAGAATTCTATCTTCAATGGCAAATTTACTTTACTTGACAATAGCGAGACTAGAATGCTTCCAAGTATTTCTCAATTCATTCAGAAGAAAATACTTCCCAAGCAATCTAACCTTCTCAAAGAGTTTATTAGCCTTTCTAGCAGAAATAACTCCATCCCAAATGATTATCTTATTCAACTACACACTGAGATCTAGAAGAGTAATATATTGAATTAAACAGCAGTTGGACCTGCTACAACATTAAGACGTCCTAAAAAGAATAAAAGTTCAAGAATAAATAAGACAATTATATAAGAAGATAATTATGTGGAACAGCAAAAGAAAACTCTAATGACAATTAAATCAAATAACTGTAGTACTTTAAAAGTAAGCGCAATTAATACAACAAGGCATCGATTAGATGATATCCAGAATTAAGATTGCATAAATCTAAAGATTTAAAATATTGGTCTTCGATAGCATTAAACCAAAGATTAAAGTGTGGGATTGGGAGGGACATCTGGCAACAACACAGATGTAAACTAAACTCAGATAAGCTGTAAGAACTCTAATGAGGATTTTATGGGCTCCAAATATGACCAGAACATTCATGAAAAGCTTGCTTTACTCAACATCCAGGATTCAAGAGAGCTAAGAAACCAATTGGTCTATGAATAACTTGCACAAGGAAGATTTTTCTAAAAAAAGTATCATAAGTCCTTCTCGATTCAGCATAATTAAGATAAAATAAACTATAACAATGTGAATCCAAGAATTCAAACTAGTAATTAGACTGCAAGACTTAGAATTAAATCAAACTATATACAAGATCAAATGAACTAGGATCTTAACATATTTGATTAAAGATTTCCTTTGTCCTCTTAATAGAGATTTAGAATCAGAAATAATCCAGTATTATTTCATTAGAGTAAGGAATTTCAGTTGAAATCAGAAGAAAAAGCCAAGGATTAGAATACTTAGCAAGAAGAAATAAACGAATAGCTTATACCTTTGGAAGAGATTCATTAAAAAAGTCTGCTTTCAACATTACGGGACTCACCAGACAACTCTCCTACAGTCTAAGAGAAAAATATCATGAGCTATAAAGAACTTGACATCACTCTCTATGATTGCAATCAAATTTCCAATCCAAATCTAGAAAATAGTATGAATAAGCAGACTAGCTCTACAAAAGGATTCGTTCCTCATCTTTAAATGAAGAAAAAAGTCTTATCAAAGCTTAATTCTTCATATAAAAATGAGCCTTACACTACAAAGAGCAACAAAGGGATTAATGTATTAAACAGCCTTAGAAATTCAATAGATCAAAAATCTAATTAACAGAAGTTTAAAGATGAAAGATATTCTTCAGCTATGGAAGGATAGTCTCAAATAAGACTATCCTAGGAAGGCTAGATAAAGCCATCCATTTAGATTAAAGCAAGTATGAAAAGAAAGGGATCTGATTTTGATTGCTTCCTTAAAAAAACAGAATTCAATTCGATAGTAATAAATAATTTCTAAATGCCATGTGATTCTCTAATAAAAAAAGTAAACACACCAAATAGGATTAAAATGAAAACACGAGAGCATAAAAAGATACCCTATCCAATGCTTAAATTAAATTGCTACAAAAGAAATTTATATAGGTAAAATACTGGTGTCACTGGTGTAGAAAGAGCCAATAAAACCCAGGGTACCTTTGGTAATCCATTAAGTAATCTTAATTTAACTTTAGCTATTTGATAAAATATATTTAATTTCCTTTAATAGCTACACTTTATTTACTAATAACTGACTAGAGGGGTTTTGGGGTTTTGGGGTTTTATTGGCTCTTTCT